TCAATGTAATTCGAATAAATTAAATTTTACCATTTTATTCCTCCCAAAGAAAAAATAATTTATTTAACTCTAATGACATGTATCATATTCGTATAATTGATATCAACAAAATTGGCGCCAAGTTAAATTCATCAAAATTTTATCGAAATTTTATCAAAAATTTTATGTATTATTCCTATAAAAGATTTGATATCAAGAACTGGTGCTAAGCTAAATCCCACTCCTTTATATCACTTCTTTATATCGTGCCAAATTAAATAAATAATGAATATTAATCTAATGGTATGTATTATTTGTACGAACGATTTGATATTAACAACTGTGGCGCCAAATTAAATTCTACTAACAGAATGAAAAGTAAAATTCTAGTGATACTATCTTTATTTATTATTTACTTAATCCAAATGGTACTATTTTTAATTTTTATACAATGAAATAAGTATACGTATACTTATTGAAGAATCTTCCTATTCCAATCCAAATGGTTTAAATTGCTCTTAAATGAAATTATTATATTACAATTCATTCAAAGACATTTCCTCTTCCAACTAAAGTAGTGGTTATTTAATTCCCCTTCAAAATATTATACAAAACATCACAAATTTGCGTTATCTTGCTCAATTTCAGTGTTATCACAAAAATTGAAGAATTAACCGTATAAAATGAAAAAATTTAATTTTTACTTAATCTAAAAGGTACAATCTTTAATTTTTATACAATGAAACCTAAGTATACGTATACTTATTGAAGAATCTTCCTATTCCAATCCAAATGGTTTAAATTCTTCTTAAATGAAATCATTACATCACAATTCATTCAAAGACATTTTCTCTTCCAACTAAGGTAGTGGTTATTTAATTCTCCTTCAAAATATTATACAAAATATCATAAACTTGCGTTACCTTGCTCAATTTAAATGTTACCACAAAAATTAACGAATTAACCGTGAAAAATGAAAAAATTTAATTTAAATAGAAAAATTTTTCATGTAAAAACATTTGGCGATGCTAGATATAATAAATAACATGATAGGATAGTAGTAAAGCATGAATGTAAATAAGAAGGATAAGAATATAATACTTAGAAAAATAAAATAAATAAGAAGCATATTATAATAAGAAAAGTCATAATCATATTAAAAAATTAAAAAATTTGAATATTTCGAAAAATAAGAAACATAAAAACCATCCACAATGAGAGTTAATATATGTATCTAGCATATGTATATATGATTGAGTTATAGAGTCGTGTAAATTATGATCGTTGTGAATGCTATTAAGTTTAGATCAAAGAAAAATAAATTTAGACTTGTAAGACATGCATTATGTGAGAGAGAATTTATTATTACTTCTATTATTACTTTTAAATTATATTACAATTATCTTTTATTATTTATTTTTATTAATTACCATTCGAATTTTAAATTGTTCTTATAGTTTTTCTTACTCTATCTAGCAGCGCCAAGTGTTTCTACATGAAAAATTTTTCTATTTAAATTAAATTTTTTCATTTTATACGGTTAATTCTTTAATTTTT